GAAACCCCCATCCATCCTCTTACCTCACTCCGGCAAGACTTACCGCAGCAGAGCCACCATCTCCGCTGCTGCTGTACCCTATTTCCATCCTACCAGCTAGCCGCCTCACTAGTAGGACGCTTGATATCCCACCATCTACTTCCAACATCAGCCAACGACGTTCTGGCTTCGAACCACCATAGATCTATGAATATAACCGCATCAGAGAAGCCCACAGTGAGTAGCAAGAACCCCCCAAAATCCTGAAGCAACCTCAAGACCACCAGAAGTGACTTACACAAATCAACTTACTCATGAAAAAAAAGATCCAAATGGGATTATCTGGAAGCCGATATAACCGAAAACATGCTGCCCCAATGCTATCAACAGACTATCCTACGGCTGCCTCAACCCACATATCCAAGACACCAGGCTCTTCCAGGCCTCACACCCCTAACCGCTGGGTTACAGGGCGGCGCGACCCACCCCAGCTCCGACTCGCGTCGTCCTAATACCAGCTCGCGGTTAGCCACTGGACTGCCTTCCACCCTCGACAGTTCCCTAGATCTCTCTACCAGGCCTCTAACCCCCGCATACTCAGGTTACAGGGCAGCGCAACCAAACCCCAGCTCCGACCAGCGTCGTTCTGGCATCGGCCAACCCTAACCTTATGGACATGATGGCGTTCCACACATAACAGAAAATAAATTAAAAAATTCAAGACTTCAGTGCAAGCTGGCTTGGGGGGGGAAAGGGGGGAAAGATGGGGAGGGTGGAACGGACAGGAAGAAATGGGAAGCAGGGGAGAATTCGTGAGGGGAAAAGGCAAAGCAAGGACTATCGGTTGATCTTCCATGAGTGGACCAAGGTGGACGTCACAACTCCAATGAGAACGATGAATGACTTCCCAGACCCCTTCCCTACTCCCTCTAACAGTATGGTAGAAATGGGGTGGTATGGGGGATAAGGTGGAAGGAGGAGGACAGAGTGTAGACATGGGGAAAGGAAATTAAACAGACAGCAGGCAGGCACGGGATAAAGGAAGAGAGGAGCATAGGAGGCGCGCAGCGCGGTCGGGAGTGTTGTGCCCCACCCGCGCAGTCAGACCGAGTAGCGCCAAGCGGTGACATGCGGCGGAGCAGCGCGAAGTCGAATCAAGCTGCGCTGGACTGCAACAAGCGACGGTGCGGTGCGGTGCCGGGGGGAGTGGATTCGGGGTGGTGTGAGGTGGAGGTTGAGAGGTTTTGGGTGAATGGATGATGATGGGAAGGATGGCGACAAGGGTGATGCATCGTGCGTAGAGGATGAGTCTACTACGAAGAGGCTGCTTGTGGATGGCGACAAGGGTGATGCATCGTGCGTAGAGGATGAGTCTACTACGAAGAGGCTGCTTGTGAAGGGCTGCGAAGGGTATGGGCTGCCAACATCATCATCAGAGCTACGAATGGTGGAGTGTCACGTGTCCAACGAAAGAGTCAAGTGATGAAGGGCAACGAAGGGCATGGAAGGTTTGTTCCCCCCCGAACTACCAGTGAGGGATTACTGGCAGGTTCGGTGGTTTTGTCTTGCTACGTGGCAAGTGAGGGGTAAAGTGAAGCACCAGTCCGTTAGTCCTTATTGTTCAGTCTTTTTTTATGGCCGAGAGAGTGGCCACGTGAAGGGTGAGTTGCCTTCGGGCCGATAAGGGTGGGGGTGAAGGTTTGGGGGAGACAGACACATCATGATGAGAGGTCAATTTATATGTTTTGATCCATAGTTTTGCTCTCCGTGGCTTGAGTGACCTCCGTTTTTTCGTTTTGATCTCGTTTTTTGGGAGGTAGCTTCAAGATAGTAACCCGATTTTGATTTTCAAATGATTGTAAATCCGATTCTTTGATTCTAATCTCTGGTTTTTGAATTTAATCTTTTGGATTATCCTATTTGATTTTCTCATGACAGGTAGTTTTAGGTTTTTCAATTCTAATTTGATTCAAGACAGCGTACTCATGAATGAATTCAAAATTTTGCGAATAATTCTCGATTTGATCCTATCATGTTGATGATCGTAAATCAGAGTTTCGCCTCTGGTCTCGAATAATGTTTTCTAATTTTTTAGATTCTCAATGAACTCATGAAGAATAATCCACAAACCTGATTCAAGACAGTGGGATCATGAATGATCTCCAAAATTTATTAATAACTTTTTATTGTTATTTTCATATTGACGATCGTAAATCAGAGCCTCGTCTTTGATCTTGAATAGTGATCTCTAACTTTTTAGAATTGCAATGGTTTCGTGAATTTGTTGAATCTTGTTTTTCATGATGTTTCGACTCGCCTGAGAATGGTATTCTAGTGTTTTGTTGTTGCACTGGTCGTTGTGATACACTCCTGTTTGAGAGGGGTTAGTAGTGGGAGGGAGGTGACGCGTCCTACTGGCGAGGGGGTCAGTCGGTAGGACTGAAAGAGGGCATAGCAGCAACGGAGATGGTGGCTCCGCTGTGACAAGTCTTGCCAAAGGGGGGTCAGGGGGAGTGTTCGGTGGTTTGGGGGTGTTGAGCACGGAGGAAGCGGGGCATTTCGAAGCCTGTTTTAGCGTCTTCCCAGTGTATTGTTATCCTTGTTTGAATTTGTTGTTGTATGGTTTCTGTGAATTCCGACCCTTCCATCCTCACCCCTTCCATTTCATATGTGCATCGGCGCCTCCACAATGCCCATATCATTGCCCTGCGTCCCAGCTTAAAGATGTTTTGGGTGAAGGCATCCGCTTGTTCCGCATACCATGTTTCTAGTACTAGCGCTCTTCCCATGGCCAGGGCGTTGTTGTTTCTAGCTGATTCCACCCTGTCGCACCAGCGCCAAAGCCAAATTGCCCCTGGGCAATGCAAAAAGATGTGTTCTATTATTTCTGTTTTTTTCCTAGATGGGAATGAACTGGAGCATAGCTTGCACCAAGGCAGAGCCCATCCACTATGTTCCAGGGTCGTCCCGTCTATCAGCCATTCGTTAGTCAGTAGACAGCGGTGTCTCATTTGCCATTGGAGGGAGGCCAGTTTTGCAGGTTTCCTTTTGGCTAGCTGGAACCATTTGACACCTCGAAGTGATACTTTACTGACATTTGAATGCTTCATCCATCTAGCCTCTACCTGGTCTCAAAGGTTAGTTTTGGCGCGGAGCATTCTATACGTTGACTCGACTGTCATGTTGTGTAAAGTTTGGCTGCTTCGCTTCCTCCTCCCGCCCGACATTGTCCATGACCACTCTGCCGGGTTGAGAGGTAACTGCGCAACCGGGGTGTGTGGAAAGAAGGCGACCCATTTATCTCCATCCATAAGCACTCTGGTTCTTGACAGTTCCTCTTTCCGTTAGCAGCGTGTCTCTTCTGTCGTGGGTCTGTGCAAAGTATTATCCCGACTTATTGTGAAGATGTCCACAATCACTAGCCCTTTTGGGCTGCAGCACACCACATTTCCCATTCCCCCCTTGCTGCCAGGAATCCGCACCCAGTCTGATTCCTGTAGAGTGGGTCCTTTCCTTAGAATTTTCCACCAGCTCAGGGGGATCCTCTCAATGACCTCTTCAAGTGCCAACTTCGGTCTGTGGCTGTATCGTAGCTTTTGCCTAAGCATATCTCTGTCAATCCAGTCCATCCTGGTTAGATCCCATATATCACCTATTCTCAGCACTCCTCTCCTCACCCACACACGCCAAGGGGAGTCCGTACAGCGGAGGACCTGACCCCTGGTGTTGACAATTCTCCTATTGTCGAAGAGTGATTGTCATATTACCTCGTCCCATCTCTCTGGTTGGCTTTTGTCCGACAAAGGAAGGGTTCTCCATGTTTTCAATAGGGATGGCCAAAAGTGATTGTTCCGCAGGTCATTCCTTGCCTGTTTCCTTGACGAGGTCCGCGGTGGGTTCTGGTGGTGAGGGTACTCTCTTGGTATTGGCCAGCCCTTGTTTTCCAGCCATGTTAATGGGTGGATTTCTGCTACTGTTTCGGGGGCCAGCCTGAAAATTTGTCCTAAGGCTAGCCCTTTCCATGGGGTATCGGGGCGAAACAGGAAGCGTTTAAGCCATTGTAGGGCTAGTGCTTTAGTTTGAAGCATTGGGTTAAGTATGCCCAGTCCCCCACTGTTTTTTTGTTGGATTATAGAATGCCATGCAACCCTGCCGATCACTTTATGTTTTTCATGGTCGCCCCTCCATAGGAACGCAGCTATCTGGCGTTGTAGGGGGCGGAGGACTGTTTGTCAAGCGCCCAGATGACTGACCTATACCACAGGGAGGCGAGCACCACATTGTTGATCACCAAAGTGCGTCCCATCAACGAGGTGTGTTTGTCCTTCCATTGTGTCAACTTTTCTAAGGACGGTTTGGATATTCATTCATTATTCACTGTTGGCCTACCGTTCACTGATAGCGGGACTCCGAGCACCCGGATGGGGGCTTCGTTGGGAAGCCATTTAACCTTTGGCTTCTCCGGAGGCCTGACGCCCTGATGGTGAATCCACCATCCCAGGGTTTGTTCCCCTAGTTGACTCTCATATCTGAAAGGGCACAATACTTTTCCATCATTTGTTGGACCTCCTCCATCAATGCATGAGACACATCCACCATCAGGGTCAGATCGTCAACAAACAGCGAGCATACCGGAACTGCCTCCTCAGGAATTGAGGATATTTGGATTCTCTTGATGTTCTTGTGTGTCTGCAGATTTGCCACGAGAGCTTCCATCACTATCACAAAAAGGTATGGCGCTATTGGGTCGCCTTGCCTAACGGACCTCTGGAGGGAGATGGGCGGTGCAAGGTTACCATTGACCATAACTCTGGTTGTAGCGTTTTTGTGCAGGATTTCCACCCAACGCCTGAGGCGCGGTCCAAAATTGAGTTTTCTAAGCATTTATCAAGGAAAGTCCAAGCAACATGGTCGTATGCTTTTTCAAAATCAATAAAAATGATTGTCGCGTTTTGTTTGGTTTGCCTCGCGAGTTTGATCACCTAATTGATAAGGAGGATGTTATCCTGGATGTTCCTGCCTTCAATGAAGCCAGTCTGGTCAGGATGGATGATGTCAGCTATTATCTTGGCCATACGGTTGGCCAGCGCTTTTGCTACCATCTTATAAGCCACCGTAAGGAGGGTGATGGGTCTATAGTTTCTAAGTTTGGTGCTTGGGTCTATAGTTTCTAATGTTGGTGCTTTCTCCTTTTTTTATATATAAGCGTCAGTACCCCTTGCCCTACGAATTCTCCCATCTGGCTTGTCTCCCACAGAGCATGATTGTAGTTCATTAAATCCTGGGAGATGCTCCCCCACTTTGATTCCCAAAACTCTTTTGGTAGACCATCAATGCCCGGGGTCTTTTCTTCTTCCATGAGCATCAAGGCTGTCCACACCTCCTCTTTTGTTAGCGGCATCTCCAACTGCTCTTTCTGTTGCGCTGTGAGTGTTCGGGAGAGGGGGATTAGGAACTCGTCTATTTCCTCCAATCTTTGTGCGTGTGGCCTATCCCCGCATTCCGATGCGAAAAGATTCTGGTAGAAGTCCCTTGCTATTTTTGTACATTCTACCGTTGAGATGTACAGCGGCTGAGTGACCCTTATTGAAGATTGGGGTCCTCCAATACTTCTATAGTTATTCGTCTCACCTTTGTCCTTGCCATTGCAAAGAATCTCGCATCCATTGACCCTTCCATCTTATGTCTGTGAAGTTTTCCTCGGATCATGATGCCTTGCCATCTATGCTCCATGTGGCCGAGGATCTGGGTTCCCAGTGCATGTATTTCATTGGCCAATTCCGCTTGCCTGTCGGTGTCGTTCATTATCTCGTCTTCTTGTTGTTGAAGGTGTTGTAAGCGATTTTGTAGGTCAATTTCCTCTGTGTGGCGCTATGCCGCACGGAGTCTTGAGTATTCATTGCACTTACGACCCAAGGAGGATAGACCGTTGTTGAACCATAGTATGTCATTTTGGATCTGGTCCCTTTGTTTTTGCCAAAAAGACCAGACGTCCTTCAGGTAGTTTTTAAAGCTGTCGATGACCAAGAAGGATGTATTGAGTTTGTAAAATCCCCTTCCCTGATCCGGTTTCTTCCTGAAGGTAAAGATGGCAAGGCACATTGCATGATCCAAACCTGGGTGGGGAGTGCGAGGGAATATCTCCACTATTTGTAGGGACCCTTTTATTTATTCAGAGACCAATATTAGATCAATGCACGACTTTGAGGTGTGCTCCGTTTGGTTCTTACGGTAGCACGTGAACTTGCGGCGGGACAGGTGTCTCAACCGAAATGAATCAATGAGACTAAGTGATTGGGACAGGTCTGTGATGATTCGTTCGTCATTCTCCACATATATTGGGCATGATGAGAGGACCTTCCATCTGTCCAACCATCGATCGGGGGCAGCATTGAAATCCCCTGCCAGGATGATCGGGATTACCCCTGGTAGTTTGGGTTTCAGTTCTTCAAAGAAGTTTTACCACTCTCTGATGTCGTTCGGGGCGTAGACGTTGAGGATACTTACCACCTCGAGCTCCAGCATAGCGAGCAGATAGATCCACCTACCTTCTTCCTGGTCTGCCGACCAGTTAAGGGGTTCCACTCTTGATCCTGGGGGGAGCCATATGGCCACCCCGCCGCTGCCCGATCTCTGGGCGTAAGCTCTGTAGGAATGGCACGGCCAGATCTCTTTATGGGCATGATTGTACTCTGGGTTGTTTAATAAGTGTGTTTCCTGTAAACATACCACATCGGGCCAATCCCTCCCCTCTACCCCTCTGAGTTGTTCTATAATCGCTTGCCGCTTAGATTGATTTGCTGAGGCAAGCCTGTTCACATTTCGAGATCGAAGATCAAAATCCGCTGCTCTCTTGGAGAGTTTCCACTATTTGTCCCGATTATACAGCGTGTCAATAACATTCATTTTTGTTTCTTTCTTTTCTTTTGGTCTGTCTGCAGAGGCCGTTTAAAGGGATATCCACGGGTCTGTGCACAGCCTGCCCCCTCTACGCAGGGTTCCATTTAG